TGTGAAAATAAAATAAATTAATGAATTAATTGAATTGGTGCGCCATAAAGCATGAAAAATAGAGCTTTTTTTCGCATCTCGTTTAACAAGATAAACGTAAAATGTATGAAACAAAAAAAGGTCTTCACATTTCACTGTTATTTGTGCTGTTGCTGCATTTTCAAGAAATTGAAAATAAAAATAGAATAAAGGAGTGAAAGCTAATAAAAGGAAATTGTAGAAAATTTATTTATATTAAAATGCTGTTAAGGGGGATACATGGTTGAGTAGGTTTGGCTATTGCATGAAAATTATGATCATATGTTGACTAGAATTAAACCTAAATTTGTAAAATATTTTAATAATTGCAACATCCAAAGAACATGCTTACTTAATGGATGTTCGAGTATAGATTGAGAAGCACTGCATTAATGCATTTATACTGCAATATCTCATATAGAACAGACTCAATAGCTCTCCTTGAAAACTACTAAACGTCAGGATATACTGGAAAAATTTAGAATGACCATAAATTCATGATTAACTAAGCTATCGATCTTTACAATAGATTCAGGATCGCAGTGCCTTTAGCTCCACGCAACGTGTAGTAATACATCGGTTTGCTGGAACCCTCTCACATTATTAATCTGTACATCTGTTATTACCGATTTCTGGTCAAAAAGCGGGACATGACCCGATTTCAGTTCTTCAGCATTTTCCAAAGATAATTGGTTCAAAAAAGCAGTATTATAGGCGAGACGTTGTTCAAAAAAACCGGGACCGTCCCACTCAAAAGTGCGCAGTTGAACAGCTTATGATTAACCTATCCTAAATTTAGATAATATAGAAAAATTCGAAAAATTCACAAAAACATAGCTTGATATATAGCTTTGTTCATATTATAGTGTCAAAATATGCTTGCTAATCCTTAACGGCATTCAACTTTACTCCCACTATAATTCTCTCACCCAGAACATGAACAAAAATTGTGAATATTTAACCCATATTCATTATAATCCATAGAAATTATGACAGCACGATTTATCAAAAACTAAATCCCTTACCTGCACTAAGGAGCAAATAATTTTTCACCCACTCAAAGAAAAATATTCATTTCAAATGTGTAGTCGTTACCCTTACAATCGCTCGCTCGCAACAAGAATAAAGCTTTCAAAAAATATAAAATGAAATTCATCAAACTTGAAAATACATTTTAGCACAATCCTTTTTCTGTTGTATTTGTTTGCATGCAAACTTCTCTTTTTTTCACTTTTATTTTACTTTTTTTCTTTAATAATACGATTAAATTAAAATGAAATGCACAGAACGGAATGAGGTGAAAGGAATGTCATTTCGAGAAGAAATAAATAAGACTTTTAGCCTTTTTTTCGTGCTGTATTTATGAATGGAGGTTCGACCTCATTTTCGAATGATTTCAATCAATTCAAATTCTGTTTTATGCTGTGTGGTGGAACAAATCAAAAATCCTTGACTGGACAAAGTCTCAGTAATTCTTATATTTGAGAAAAGAGTGATTTATGCTTAAAATTGTTGACACTGTTTGAATTTTTAATATTTTTATATGGCAATAAATTTTATAGTTGCTGCATTTCTTGAAGTTTCTGATCTGTTGATGTGGAAATTATGGCTTGAGCTTTTTAAATTGTAAGGAAATTGTGGATATGACAGTGAATAAGATGAGAAAAAAATATTCAGCTGGTGTTGACAGCAACTTCCAACTACTCATGGTTGACCTCAATTTTCCAGCAATTAAAACTGACTGTGCAGCTACATATTCTTGTCATTTCAATTTTCTTAATCCTTTCGAGCAAGTAACGCTTGTTAAATCTTTATCATAATTCACAAGTATGTCAAAAAGTTGTTAAGAAAAAAAAATAATCCAAAATGTTGACTGAAAACCATTTTTTCCTACTTGTCAGAAATGACAAAAAGTCTAGACTTTATTCTAAGAAGTGCCATCATTTACACATAAAAAAATCTTCAAAATCATTACCGTGTCATGTTGATGGGATGTTTACAAATGTCAAAATAAGTTAAGCAGTTGTCAAGAAGCCTCCAAAAAAGGAAGCTTCATAATTCTCTCGTTTATTGATTTCCGTACTTTATAGAGTAGTGTATCCCTTAACATAGGCGTATCCAGGAAGGATTGGGGTATTGTGGTTAAAATCTCAAAATCAATTCTTAAATATTGGACGAAATAAGTCAATGATTCCATAGCAGCAACTAAGTCCATCACTGCCTGCCTCTGTAATAAATTCATAGTTTTTGCAAGTAATTAACCAAATTTAACTTTTTCTGATGAAGCTATCATTTCAATTCAACATAGATTATCAGATAATAAAATTTGCAATTTATTTAATGCAGTCAGTGAATCGACAAAAATATAAAAAAAAATTCAATTTTAACTTAAAAAAATCCAATAGATTGGAATAAAAGCCTGCATGTGATTATTTTGAATTGAAAAAAAAATTCATATTAATTTCTCAACAAAAGAAGCTTTTGCAGAATAATCAGCTTACAAATATTTTCAATTTTTTTCCAGAAGGAAGTAAACAGAATGACTTTGAAAAAAAATATGATTGAAATAAGAAAAATATTTTCAAAATTAAAATTTCAACAATTTTTTAACATTACGAATATTGAAATATGAAATTCCCAAGAGTGAAAATTGAATTTTTCATTCACATGGAAAAGCTCTTCAACTTTTTTTCTTGCTAATGATAAATTGAAATGAAATTCTATGATTAATGAAGGCAAATTGCACATTTAATTTGAATATTTTCCATTCTTTTCAAATTCAATGCGCGATGAGAATGATAGGCAAAAAAGGCAATCAATCACTATTCATAGCCTTCAAATAATTAATTTACTTTACGTGCTGGTGGTGCTATACGGGAAGCTATTTTGTCTAATGAACTTTGTGAGAATATGAAGGTCCTTGAATGTAAAGGAATTTTAATGTGTTTGGAAATGAAAAGGAAATGGCAATTTTAGAGGAGATTGCTTTGGGAAACTTCATGGTTAAACTTAATGGATTCAGTAATTGTTTATATGTTGATGAAATAGGAGACTTAAGTAGTGTTTAAGCAGATTTGAGTCAGAAATATCCCCCTTTCTATGGTCGAGTGGTTAGGCAAGATTTATAAAGCATCTTTTGTGACGACATAGGTTCGATTCCTACCGAAAGTTGAATTTAATAATATTAAATCATACTTGAAAAAGTAGCAAGTGCAATGTTTCTGGAATTACTACTGAGCCAGGCATTACCAACTCTATCCCTTATGTAACTGACTGATTAATAAGCACTACTCACACTATTTATAAATCATAAAAAAATCAACTTAATCCAGAACAATCCAAAGACATTTATTAAAAATTCAAACTTTATCGCTACTCTTCCCCTTCCTTATCCTGCAAACCGTTTCTAATTCCCAACATCTAAAACTGCAAACAATAGACAAATTTCAACTAAAGCATATTAAAAGGCCACTAATTGATAGAACCCACAGCGATCCACCTCCAAATTCTCGTCTCGTGCCTTATTATTTCCTTTCGTTATTTTTTTAAACATTGTTATTTTCTGTTCGTTCCTGATTTTGAATAATTTATTCTCTAATTAATAATTTCACAGAAATAATATACACTAGTATGTGTTGTTGTAGATACACGTTCATGTAAATCGCTTGAATACGACAAAATGGGAGTGAGTTGTAATTAGCAACAATACTAAATTTGGCAGCTCTCTCATTTCAAGCAATAAAAGTATTTTTTTTCTGTTGTTTATTGTTTTCTTACTAGACACACATTTAGCAGCTAGCAAAAAAGCAAAATGCATGCATGAAAAACTCACAAATATATACACATAAGCAAAAGAATAAATAGAATCTCTCATCCAGGTTTTTCTATAGAAAGCGAGAAATCGATTTTGATGAGGTAAAGTCCATTAATGCAGACTGTCGGGCTTAATACACCTTTTCAATTCTATTTTTTTTTATTATTTTGTTTTGTTTTATTTCTTTTCTTCTTTTCAGTTCTGTTAGTCTTTTTGTGTTTGATAAATGGAATAATTTTCGTTTTCTGTTATTTTTTTATTTGAAAAAAGGGGCTGTAACTCTTTGATTGAGATGGTATGGTTTGAGTAGTTCTGATTTAAGGATTCTTATATATTTTGTATACCTAATGCGTATCTAAAGAGTGTCAAGTGTAAACCTAGTTTTTACTTTGATGTGCTTACACAATAATATACATTTCTGCAAGGTATAACCAAGATATACATGATCCTTGAACTCTAATTTTCTTTCATTTTGAAGGATTGTCTGGTTTTATATCCAATAAGATTTAAACATTGGAAAACAAGATCTTTAACGTTTGAATTAGATTAGGTTTGTTTAGAAAACTAGACCGAAAGATCTTAGCAATTGCTTCTTGCCTGGATTGGCTTAGATTAAAGTATATTATCTAGTCAAAATCTTAAACTAAACCAAGAAACCTTATTTAAGATCATAAACCAGATCGAACTTTAATTTAATGCCAGCTTAAAAACTCAATATCAATCTCAATTAAAGAGTTATCATCCCTTGACATCCCCTCCTTAATATTACCTCCTTCTTTTCATATTTCTTTTGTAAATGTTAAAAGCTTAAACTATACAAACAAAGAACTCTATTTTTCTGTTTCTCATAAATGTTTCTTTCTCTTTTTTTCGTCTTTACAAAAAAACTTTTATTTCAGAACTAAAAGCACTTTCGAATCTACTTTATGAATAAAAAATAGTAGATATGAATAAGATTCTCTCGATGTATATGATAAAAGAGCTTTAAAAACATACAAAAAAACAGACAATTCTTGGAGACAAATTAGGCAATCATTAGATAATGTCGACGTCGTTTTTAGATTAAACAGCAGACAAAAATAAACTAGTTGATAAGTCTTTGTTATTATTTTTGTGGCTCTTCGATAAACGACCGAAGAGCATTTTGTATTTTTGCATAACGGTGTAAAATTTTATATACAAAAATTAAGCGACAAAATTATTTAAAACTCGAACAAAAGTCGGGGGATATAAAGACGAAAGCTTTACTCAATCGTTTAAAATCGAGGCCTTTCTATCGTATAATGGCGCCATTTAAACTCTTTCGAAATGCGGGCAGCACATCACGAAGTACATCACAAGAAAATGAACCCGACCAGCAAACTATAACAACAACAACAAATTTAGTTGTAACGTCAAGCTTAAACAAGTTAACGACTGCAATCACATCATCCTCCGCACATATTAATTATCTTAATATTGATGAATCTGATCAGAATAGTGAAAATAGTAGTTTAATGTCTTTTAATAATGATCAACGTGCTTTATTATCTGCAGGCTCTACCGCCGATCAAATAGGTAACTCTACTTTTCTTTATCCTCTATCTCTAATTTTTATTAATCCTTATTTATTTTGGCTGATGTTGAAACATTTTAGCTCAATTTGATGTGAACATTATATCCAAAGTATTTTAAAATGTATGAAAAGTGAATGCTATAAAAATTTTATTTTTATGTGGCACATTTTTTCATACATTTTATTATACTTTTAATGCTTATTTACGTCAACTTGTGTCAAGTTTCTCCATCTGCTTCTTTTGGTCACAATGTTTATTTTTGAATTTTGTTTAGTTTTTTTTAAAGGAAAAGATTGAAATAAATTTTATATTTTAACATCTATTTTAATATTGTTAATTGAATGATGAATGGGTTGTTGCTAGTTATTTGAACTTACTGTACAATAGCACAATATTAAGTTAAATTTAAATTTATGATGTTTAAAGTCATCCTAAAACATTATGAGTTTGAAAAAACACTAATCTTTCATTTTATTGCTGAGTTTCTGATAATTTAAAGATTTGGTGCTCAAACTAAGCCAAAATGAGATTTCCTTTTGCTTTGGTTAAACCTCTAAATAGTAAGCATCAACGTCCATACTATAAATATCTATTTGGAAGATTCTAAGCAAAGCACGACTCTTAAGAGTCACTTATAGATAACCAATTTTTCAATCCACCCAGCAAATCAGCATCAATCTACAAACAAGCTGATAAAAAAAATCAAAAAAGCTTTGAACAAAGCCAAAAATCAATAGAATCAATCCTCTTCTACATCTCTTTTATCTTCCATCTCCAATACAAATCTAAATAAAGCTTGATTAAGCTTATAAGAGGCTCCAACAACCATTCATGATCTCAAATAATCTCATTTCACTTCCAAGAACTTTTAACATCCTCCAATTAATAATAAGAAGCAACAAAAAAAAATGTTGGCAGTCATAAAGCTCTTTTTTATTATTCAAGATCCTCAATATTGGCGCTGAAGCAATGCTTAAGAAGAAAATTACATTTTTACAGGCTTTTACATAATTAATCAGATCCTTTTCTCAGCCATCCTTCTCAGAAATTCAATTTTTTATTGGCATTGAATGTTTATTATAGTGGTGAACTTATTCTTCCGCATAAAATAAAGCTGAAAAATTCTTCAAAAAACATTTGAAGTAGTTAAAAATCTTTTAATCTTTTAGAGAGGAATCAAAGCTTAATCGGTGAGAAAATAAGTGCTTAGCACTGTCAGCATATTGGATAATAGAATTTTTCATGAGAAAGTGTTTAACAGAGGAGAAAATTAGTAAGTCAATCATTGATTTGTGGTGTTATTGATCTAATAACTGGAATTGAGATCATCTCCATTTCTCAAATTGGTCGTCTTGTTCTTTATTTTCTAAATTCTAACCTCAAAATTAGAGACTTGTGCTATGGTACAAGCCTCTCCTACTCGAAATGAGAAAAAAATTCAAAAAATTTAAAATTAATCTAGTATTTATCCAAGAAGTCTAGCCTCTCATAAAATTCTGGCTAGGTCCCCTGATTAGAATAATGCAAACTTTCTATTCCAAAATAAGCAAATTTATCACATTCATTTCAATAAAAAATTTTCAATCAAAAATAATTCCAATTATCTTCAAAAAAATTATTTCTGACAGTGCCAGTGCCGTCGTCACGCTCTCGCCCACTGATACCAGGTTTTCAATCATGACATCAAGCATTAAAAATATGATTGATGTGCAATGAAGAAATTTATTCAATGAGAAGCTAGAAAGATGAAACTTTTAAATTAAAACACTTTTAAGGTAGCAAATATGCGTGACATCGAAGCACCTCAGGGTAATTTTTCATATGCTCGAAAGTCTCTTTTTACGTTATGCTAGAAAGTTTCATTTTCCTTGCCGTCTGTGGAAGTAAAAAATTAATTCCTAGTTTACTAGTAAACTTTCACGAGTGGATACAGTACGAAAGATAATAACGGCAGATCTGATATTAAAAAGCACAGTTCAAAAATTTAAAAATAACGTTGCTCTAACTCTAGCACACACCTTTGTCGCCATCATATAAATACCCTGTTTTATGTGAGCATACACATAAAGTATGTAAAAAGGAAAAATGTAGAAGAAGAAAAGTTTGGTATTAAAGCTTTCATTTTTGCTCCTCTTATTTTTAACCCATAATTTAGTTCTGTTTATATACACATAAACCTCTTTTTGTTGCTTCTCATTTGCTGTTTTCTATTCCCACATAAAATGTTTGCTATTGGATTTTATGTGCCATGTTGCTCTTAACATTCTACAGTTTTAGTTCTTCTTCTTCTTCATTTTTGTACTAGTTTTTATTCCGCACATATTAAGCTCAATAATTTGTTGTGTTTTTCTCCATTTTCTTCGTTTAATTTCTTTCCTATTTTTCAGCAAAACAATTGCTTTTCTCGTTTTCGATTCTTTTCTTCTTTACTTTCCGCGTCAGTAAGAATTTTTCACTGCTTTTCTTCTCTGCTCTTATACTTTTTATGTTTTTATACTGAGCGCGGCTTTCTCTGAATTTTGAATATTATTATTTGATCTTTTAATCATTAAACATTAATCTTCAGTCAACCAGCAGATAGATTTAAAGGTTGTTGCAGCATTATGTTGAAAAATCTCAATTCTGATTCATCAAAACTTAAAAATTATTAAGTCACTACAATTAGCACTTTCATTTGTATTCCATTGAATACCAAAAACTTTCAAAAAATTCTCAACTCATTCTCGTGACATTGCGATGAACACAAAAGAAAATGAAAATGAAAATAAAGAAAATTATTCGTTTCCATTGTTTCACATTTCTCATTATAAAAAGCTTCCGTCATCATTATAATAATAATGTGAAATATTAATTCGAAATGTGATAATGAAATGTTGAAGTGTTGCCACCTCCTCCTCCAATTTAACTTTCATACGCCATCATCATCAACAAATTTAAAATTTAAATCGTAAGGAGATGGAGGGGAGAAGATAGGCACGAGTAAATGTGAAAGAAACTGCAAAGTCCAATAATTAATTCAACTTTTTTTTTCTTGCTTCATGAATCTTCAATGACTTTTAAACTCAGCAGTTTAGAAAGTATGGGAAATAAATTTACAGTTACGCTTATGGCATAAAAAAGTTGTTTTTTTTGATGAAGAAGGAAGAAATATAAGAGATGATGAGTGGAAAAGTTTTAAAGATGCACAATTGAGAAGGATTCTTGAGTGGAAATGGTTCATTATTTCATTTATTCATTCTTCCTTAATTGGATAAAATTGCTGATACAATTATTTAATTTAAATTCTCTTAAACCTTTTTAGACGTTAAATCAAATTGAAGTCTAGATCTTGCTAGTGAATTGATAAATTTTTTGATCCAGTTTTAACTTGAAAGTTAAAAGTTGCTAGTTTCCAACCCTCTTTCAAAATTAAGTTAAAAAACCATGGTTGCGATACAGGCACCTGAGCACAGGTGAGAAACCTACAATTTCTTGATATTTTATAAGGGTTTTCTAACAAAACCATCCAATTTTTATAAAACCTTAGAAATGATATGGAAGTTGTACGGTTCTCACCCGTGCACAGGTGCATGTATTGCAACCCTGAAACAAACATTTCAGAAATGAATTGCTTTGCAATATATTAAAAACGCGAAAATGCATCTCCTCAAAAAGCTACATACTCAAATTCATTGAATTCTTAACCTTTCCGAACAACTTTCTGAAGTTTTTAATTGATTTTTTTCATCATCTTTCCAGTCTACAATCCATATGGAAAAAATCTCATCTTTCAGCAAACCCATTGAAATTCATTAAAAATCTTGAAATTTCCATTAATGGAACCCCATCAATATTATGCATACACATTAGCAATATTGAGAATGCATCCGCATTTTTTCCATTTAAAATATTTGCTCTGATTCTGCATAAATATTTAAATGAATCCAATCTGAAGTCTTATATATTTTTAATTTAAAGCAAGGCATCATTTAAATCTTCAATCTAGTTGAAATTTATGAATATTCATTCATCTTCATCCTACAAGGATAATCAACAACACTATCTAGTTAACCACTGACTGAAGACATTGAAATTTCCAATTCTAGAGAGAGAAAGCTTCATTAAATGAGGTCAATTAGAGATTTATCGAAGATTTAACATGCAAAGCATCAACAGCAAGTTAAATATTCGGAACGAATGAAAGAGAATTTCAACGAAATTGATTTTTTCAGCCATTGAAATGGATTCATGGTTATTTAATGGTATTCATTCATAGAGAAAAGTACTTGAAAGAGATATGTTGCAAAGGACTTCTTATTGAAGGTTGTAACAGGAAATTTTCTATTTCTTTGACGGTTTCTTAATTCAGACTCAAAGGACTTAAAAAGATATACAAAAATACTCTCGAATCCTCAATATTCCTTTTATTCCTGATATTCAATCACCTGTGAAATTCAGAATACTTTTTGATGCATAAAACCCAAGAAAAATTTTAAATGTTTGAATTCAAAGTTTTCCATCCAAAAGTTCATCCAATTCTTTCACATTAAGCATCATCCCTCTTTCATAATCAATGAAAAAAAAGTTTGAGATTAAAACACTTTTCTCCTATGAGTAAAATCTAAGCTTTTATATGCTTCAACTATAAGCAATCAGTAAATTTATTCAGTTCTAATCTCGTGTTCTATTTTCCTCACAACAGTCAAACGATTTCTTGTGTATGTTTGCAGAAAGCATCATCATACAGACACAGAATGAATTGTTAAAAAACAAACATTTTTCTGTCTTTTGTTTCCTTTCCTCATTCTCCCTCGGTGCATCCGTTGAATGTCATGAATGTGAGATGTGTTTAGGGTTGAAAGTCTATGTCGTTGCTATTGTTTTTGACTTGTTTCTTATGATTCGGTTTTAATTAATGCTGAAACTGCGGGAAACAAGCTTTTCTGTTGTTCTTTACTCATTATAGCTTGTACTCATTTTTTTTATTCTTTCTCTCATTCGCATGAGTCATGATAAATGCAG